TACCTATAATGCCCAGACCTTCCAAAATCCCTTAATTAAGGCGCGCGCGCGCGCCTAAAAAAAACTACCCTGAAGACAAAACCTACAGAGGAGCGGCCGAGGGAAGTGTACAAAAGTGTGGCAGGCGCAGCAAAATCGCACGTTTTGACCTTCCCCAGCGGTATTGTGGCAGAAGCAAAAACGGGACACGATTTCGTGTCCAGTTTTCTGGGCGCCCTAGGCGACCATCAGTGCTATCATCATCGATGTCAACATCGCTATCATCCTCACAGCCACCATCGATATCACCATCATCTTCATCATTCTCATCATCATCGTTATCATCATCGTCATCAATGTGTTGAGCAGTGGGCTTTTTGTGTGCTGGGAAAAGCCGGCCTGAGTTTATTCTCCGGACCTGGGCTGCAAAGCTAGTCTTACGGCAGAAGGTGAAAACACTGGTGGGGCCGATGACTTTGAAGGTCGCGGCAAGTTTGTTGAGGTTTGTGGGTGGAAAAGGTATGGGGCAAAAGGTCTTTGCACAGTCACCTTTGCCAGATCGCTAGGTCATCATCATTGCTACCACGATTGTTATCATCATCGTCATCATCATCGTTGTCATCATCGCCATCGCCATCGATATCATCGTGACCATCGTAATTTTCATCATCATCGTTGTCTTCCTCGTCGTCAACATTTCGAGCGGTATTTTTTTTTAGGCGCGCAAGCCTTAATCCAGGAATATACCTTAAATCATATTAGGGATCCTACCATAATTTAAGGTATATTCCTTAATTAGGGGATTTTGGAAGGTCTGGGTGGTCTCCATTCTACTCTCTTGTTGGGGTTACCTTATTACAGGATCCTAAATATGGGGATGTGGAGGTCCTGAGGTTTTATCTCCAAGGACTTCTGCCGGTTGAGGGTTTGGGGTTTAGGAGTTTCGGGCATAGGGGTTCAGGGTTCAGGGTTCAGGGTCTACCTATAGTCTCCGTTGTGTTTGAAACCTTATAGGAACCCAAATCTAGAACTGGTTAAACCAAAAATCGGACTACAACGGAGACCATAGGTAGTAAGTCCTTAGGGTAGATTTCGGCTGGTCAAAGAGGTGCTTCGGGTGTGGGATTACCTGTCAGGATACAAAGGTTCTTGAGCGTGATTGTTGTTTTCGCACAGGGGCTTTGGGGACATGGGAAATGAGGTGGGTAACATCTGAAAACCGATAGCCTAAACACCGGAACATTGGTATTTTCCTGTTTTCGACTTGCAGGTGAACCCTGCTTAAAGGTGTCATGGTCTCGGGGGCTTGGGGCCGATGGCGGTTGATGGTTGCTCGTGTTTTGATGTGGACGGTTTGGGGGTTCGGTCCGGGATCCTTTAGTGCAGGTCCGGAGCCCGAATGTAGAAGCCCGAATCCCCAAATCTGTACTGAAGAGACTAAATAAACTCCTGAAACAAAAACTTGAACTAGCCAAGAAGCCACAATCCCTGCACGGAAAGCCTGCTTCGGCTCTGAACCCTCTAAGCCAAGTCCCTGCGGCCTTTCGATGTGTCCTGTATTCGTCGAGGCTGGACATGAAAAGACAGTCGCCGCACTGCTAGTGTCCTGGCGCACTCGCTTTGCCTTTGTTTGGTGACTTTCGCACGTGGTAGTGGTAGTAGTAGTAGTAGTAGTAGTAGTAGTAGTAGTAGTTGGAGTAGTTGGAGTAGGAGTAGTAGTAGTAGTAGTAGTAGTAGTAGTAGTAGTAGCAGGAGTAGTAGCAGTAGCAGTAGTAGTAGTAGTAGTAGTAGTAGTAGGAGTAGTAGTACTGTTGCTCCAGCGTAGTAGCAGTAGTAGTAGTAGTAGTGGTGGTGGTGGTGGTGGTGGTGGTGGTGGTGGTGGTGGTGGTAGTAGTAGTGGTTGCAGCAGAAGTAGTCGTCGTCGTTGTAGCAGGAGCAGCAGACTAGCAGACTAGCACTAGCTCCAGTACTGGCACTAGCAGTAGCAGTAGTAGTAGTAGTAGTAGTAGTAGTAGTCGTAGTCGTAGTAGTAGTAGTAGTCGTAGTAGTAGTAGTAGTAGTAGTAGTAGTAGTAGTAGCAGTAGCTACCAGTACTAGTCGTCGTCGCCATCGATGTCGTCGTAGCAGTAGCAGCAGCAGCATCAGCAGCAGTAGCAGTAGCAGCAACAGCAGTAGTAGCAGCAGCAGCAGGAGCAGTAGCAGTAGCCGTAGCGGTAGCAGTAGCCGTAGTGGTAGTGGTTGTGGTAGTGGTAGTGGTAGTGGTAGTAGTAGTAGTAGTAGTAGTAGTAGTAGTAGTAGTAGTAGTAGTAGTAGTAGTAGTAGTAGTAGTAGTAGCGGTAGCAGTAGCCGTAGCCGTGGCAGTGGCAGTGGCAGTGGCAGTGGCAGTGACAGTGGCAGTGGCAGTGGCAGTGGCAGTGGGAGTGGTAGTGGTAGTGGTAGTGGTAGTCGTAGTAGTAGTAGTAGTAGTAGTAGTAGTAGTAGTAGTAGTAGTAGTAGCAGTAGTAGTAGTAGTCGTAGTACGAGTGGGAGCAGCAGCAGCAGTAGCAGTAGAAGTGGCAGAGGCAGCAGTAGCAGTGGCATCATCATCAGCAGCAGCAGCAGTGGCATCAGCAGCAGCAGCAGTGCCATCATCAGCAGCAGCAGTGGCAGCAGTAGCAGCAGTTGCGGTAGTCGTCGTGTTCGTGGTGGTAGTGGTAGAAGTAGCAGTGGTATGCTGCTGTGCAGTCATGTTCATCGGTGCATTTGTTGTGGTTCTATCTTCATACATACATACATACGTACATGACCCGATGCCTACCCTGTTGAAGACATTGTTCTTATCTGGGCAAGCCGGCACCCGTTCCCAAGCCCTCTCCTTCGAACTGCCCGCACCCTGAACCCATTGCATCTCGTTTGCCAGCAAGGAAGCAGGCGCTTCCGTCAACCAGGCACGAGAAGACGGCGGCACCGCTCTGCTGCCTGGCGGGGATAAGTTGTTGAAGTGTTTTCTGATTTCGGGGTGCTTTTGTCATGACCTCAAAAGGCAGCAACACTTCTATGTTAGCTATGTTAGCCGAGGATGCTGGCCGTCCAAGAAGGGCATCGTGGCATTGTGGAGCTGCTTGGTTTGCATTGGCCACCATTCTTATATAGATCTCTGAAATCTCTTGCCGCAGTTCGTGCAGGATGCCTGCCAGTTCGGTTGTGGACCAACAATGATAGACCGCGGCAACTCCTCTCTCTGTCTCTTTCTCTCCTCTCTGTGCCTGTCAAGTTGACACCTCTCGTGTGTTGAGTCACATCTTAAACCCTCAACATTAAGCCTGGACCGTACCTAAGCTCCCAAAACCCGCAACCCATCGCAACCCTAAATCCCTCAACCCAAAACTCTCAACTCCCTAAGCCCTAGACCCCTAAAGCCCTAACCCTCAACTCCATAAGCCCTAGGCCCTAAACCCCTAATCCCCTGCTGCTCCGAGGCAGCTTCTCTCGGCTGGTGCTCATGTCCAGCAGCCGGCAGCTAACGGGGCTACAGCCATCTCATTGGCTGCCCGGACACAGGCCCTTTCGGAGTTCCGGCTTTAGGGTTGAGAGTTTAAGTAGAAGGTTTACGGTTGGGGGTTTCAGGTTGAGGGTTCAGGGGTTCTTCGTGGCTCAATTTGTGGGTTATCTTTCTTCTTCGGCCTCTTTTCACATAAGCATGCTCAGCAGTGTGATGCTTACTCCGTCTGGTGATGATTGCAGGGGGCAGGGCGAGGTAGTGAGGATAGTGGAGTTGTTCTTTCTCGGTGCACCAGTTTATTCCGAAGAGTGTACAGGATGCTGTTTGCAAAGGAGAGGTTTGTCGGCCGGGGGTATGTCTTGCAGTGATGTCGGCGACTGCATGTTTGTCACAGGCTGACTCCGAAGCCGATCAAACCGTTTGCAAATCTGTCTTCGAGTCGATTCAGTTAAACCGCTCCGTCTGCTCTCAGGGAGCCGAGTTTCTTGATGGGTATGACAACATGTGACAGTATTCTTGCTGTTGCTGAAGAGAAGTAGCCTGGACTTTCAGTGTTGTACCCCATCTCGGCTTTGATAGCGCAGCCCGACATCGGTGTTGGAGTGTTGGAGCATCGGTGTGTCGATTCGCAGGACGAGGAGATGCTCCGCCACTTGGGCAAAACAAGTCATCGAGTCCGTGGGCTCCACTATACGTGTTACACCGTGTCATCCAAGCAGACATTCTTGCTAATTAGTTATTTGAATATATGTTGAGGTGGTTGAGCGGAAATACGCTCATCCATCATGGCCTTGTTAAGCAGCATCTGCCAAAGAGAACACTAACAAACAACCGGCCATGCGTCCTGATCCACGGCCTGCAACGCCCCCGAGGCTGTCTCCTCGAAGCATCGAAGGCTGTCTCACCCGAAGACCTGGATCAATTGTTCGGCGACGGATAGACATGAAAACTGGCGGGCAAGCCTCGCCTATACGGCCTGAGCGCAGCTGTCGAGTAGTTCTTGCTTGGATTCCCGTCGGTGGTTCTTGGCTGCTTTCTATCGAAAGTTCAGATCGACAGAGCGAGAAAGAGAACAAAGACACAGACAGCCATAGAGACAGAAGGAAGAGAGAGGGAGGGACGCGCGGGCGGTTTGATAGTTTTGTTCGACTTCGAAAATACATAGATGTAGAGTGTACTCAGCGTGGTATAATCAAGCAAACGGTTTGGGGTTTAGGGTAACACTACAAGAGTCATATGAAGTGTGTCAAACCCGCAATGTACGGCAGCACCAGATTCAGCAGCATGCCATTCTCTTGGACAATACTGCTAATATGCTAGACTCCTCGATATCGAACTCTAAGCCAGCACATTGAAGCCCCTCAACCCATAGCTGCAAACCGCATCCCGTACTCTTCACGACATAAATCCCATAAATACCCTAGACCTAAACCCTAAACTCCAGACCCCCAGCCGTAAACTGAAACTTAAACCCTAAACCCTAAACCTTCAGACCCTTAACCTCGGACCCTGGAGTCTGTTCGTCGGTGCATCCATCGAGGTCGTGGCCCGCACTGTCGATGCCCGGAGACATCTCGAGGAGCAGGTCACATCCTGAGATGGTGGGGTGGTGGAGATATTTGAGTTTCAGGGTCCAGGGGTTCAGGGGCTCAAGGCTGCATGACGATGCGTTTGGGGGTTTAGTGCAGTGATGCGGCCCAGTGACCCATGTGGTTGCTGCAGCTTCTGCATGTTATTTTGACGTAGTATGTGCAATACTGCTGGTTTAGAGCCTGATCCACAGCACCGTCCCACGACGGTCTTTCCGTCTACGTGGTGTCGCCTGCTCTGAGGAAGCATCTGCACAGCAGCTACATGCTATCGAGCTTGAAAGGACCGATATTGTCCCGGCCTCGGGTATGGGGCTTGACGCAGTGCTGCTGTCTTCGGCGATGCCGTTGTGATTGACATGTTTTTTGTTGGTTTTGTTGTTGTTGTTGCTGTTTGCTACTGCTGCTGTTGTTCCAGCTTCTGCCGCTGATGCTGCTGCTGCTCCTGCTGCTGTTGCTGCTGCTGCTGCTGCTGCTCATGCTGCTGTTGCTGCTGCTGCTGCTCATGCTCTTGCTGGTGCTTTTGCTGTTGCTGTTAGCCTGCTGATGCCGCTGCTGGTGGTGGTGCGGTGCTGGTGTTGTGGCTGTCATTGTTTATGCTGTTGTGTTCAGAATCATATTTGTTGTTGGCGGTGGTGGTGCTGGTGGTGAATGTCGCTTTCTTCGTCTTCGTTGCTGTTGATACTTAGTCTTACACCCTTGAAAACGGGCACGAACAAGTTTGACCGAGCTGCCCGATTGCCGAAGTCAGCAGCCATGCATCGTCAAGGCCCGTCTTCATGAGCATGTCTGCCTACAAACGCGAGAGCACGAGGCGGGGAGAAGCAGAGTTTCTCTAACCCTTAGAGTTTCCACCTGCATGGAGGTGGGCCGGGGTGTTGCCTTAAGGAGGCTTTGGAGTGATATCGTATAGTACGGCGTGACAATTACAGCTTGAGGCTTTGCAGTTTTGGGACCTATACTAGTATCGTACTTTGGGTTTAGGGTTTAGGGTAGCGGAGGCAAGCCATGGCCGAACTTAAGAGACCCAGCGCCTTGACGGACAAGCGTTCAAAGACCTTGACCCTGTACCCTAAACCCGCGCACGGAGCCTTGGCTTCTATCTCCAGCTAAAAAAGCTCTCGAAGCTTTCCCTTCCGGACAGACTCTGTCCTATGTTCCATCAAGTTGAGGCATGATATCTTGTGCCGGTCGAAATGGATAGACAGAGAGGGAGAGAGAGAGAGAGAGAATCAAGGTAAAAACAGACTAAACAAACGATACATGCACATGAAGGCGAAGAATCCGTACATGCCGACAAGCCGACTCACCAGCTGTCAAAGACCACGTGTCGATAAAGACACAATGCTGAATGATACTCTTTGCACGGTCTTGAGGAAAACATACAGCTCCCGAGTACTCTACGGCAGCCAATCCCCGAGAGTGGAGTTGTGAATTGCTTTGCAGAGTTTCGGGTCTTGAGATTTCAGTTCCCTTCGTGGAACACTACCCTAAGGCCCTCAACCCCAAACTATCCTTCCTGTCCTATGTTTGTGGGACACTTCCGCAGCCTCGCTGCAGGTGGCGCTCCAGCGGTTGCAGCATGACCGTGAGCTCGCTCGACGTGCTGCAGGTGCCAAGACCAGACAATTAATGTAGCCCTGCACCCGAAACTCTAAGCCCATGGCGTCAGGCTTGGGACTTGCCTTTTTTTGCCCATGCAAGAAGATTAGGGTTTTGGGTTGAGGGTTTAAGGTTTAGGGTTTAGGGCTTCCTGCCCAACTGTTGGCAAAGCACCTCGCTTGGCCGTGAGCTGCAGCCCGTGACCCAGCTGATTGCATGCAAGCCGGCTGGTCGACACTATGTCACTATCTTCGTAGCTGAGTAGGTAACCTTGAACCGACGTGGGGTTCATATAACCCGACCAGAATTGAAAAGCTTAACCTTTTTTGGCGAGGGTACTCAGCCCCTCAGCTGTGTATATATATATATATATATCCTTCTGGAACCCCCCCTTCTCAAAGGATCATGGGGCTTAATAACTAGGGTTCTAATTAGGCTAACTATACTTATAGCTACTTACAACCCCAATTAAGGTACTTATAAGCTTACTTACTAAGTCCCATGATCCTCCAAGTTGTCAAGAAAGCATCAGATCGGAAGAGCCCAGGTGAGCTTGCCAAGGAAGTCCAGCGCATCAAGGGCTTGGAGGCCAGTCATAGCCTGAAAAAATTATCCATACTATTTTGTGGGCTCCTTATCATATTGTTTTTGGTTGTATGCTGGGTTCCAAAACTGTATTCTATTTTTTATCAGGCCCCTATGCTACGCAGTCCTCAGTCTCCAGCACCTGTTTTAGCCTGCCCTCTTTAGTACGAGCGGGCAATGTTATTGTTTGTTCAGGACACCTGGCACAGCAGCGCCGAGAAGTGCCAGCTGGACATGCAGGTCATGGAGGACCGTGCACCCTAAACCCTAAACCCTGAATAAGCAAACCTAACCCCGGCAACCTGGAGGTCATCAGCACACAAACGCGGCTACGTTGGGTTCTAAAGCCTAGGAATTACACCGTATACTACTAAGCGCCCTTTTGGGTGCCAGGAAACCCTGAAGGCCTGAATCGTGCAGGTTCCAAGTGTGGTAGCAGAGCTCGTGCTTGATGACATTGTTCCCACACTGTGGTCAACATGCGTAGCGCACGGGTTCCATAGCACTATATCGTCGCGACGATGAGTACGAATGATGCCTACGAAAGCATATGTTGAGGTCGGGTATTGCTTAAACGGCATGTGTCAACGGTCACGGCTTCTGGTTGTGGCTAGTTGAGAACACAAGAGAGGCTGCACAATCTAGGCAGTGTTCATAACACAGCAACGACTCTTTTTGAGAAGTTGTCATGGAGAAATGCGATAAGGGGCACCTAACTCACCGTTGTAAAGTAAGGTGTACCGGGCATGGGTGACCTCATTTACTAAACACTATCTCTGCTATGGAAGTAATTAGTCCACACCAGGGGCAACTGGCGGAGATCACGCACCGCATCCAGCGCAGTGAGCAGACACAGCGAGAAGTGCTTGGCTCAGAGTTGATCGTCGTTATGTTAGTAAACCCTAAACCCTAAACCCTAAACCCAAACCCTAAACCCTAAACCAACATACGGGTTGGCGCTAACAAGACACTGAAAAACACTAAACCCCAAGACCTCACAACCTGAAACCCTCCAGCGGAACGGTACCTCTAGTGTTCTTTTTCGGGGTTAACCAATGATAAGTTTAGGATGCTATACTGTAACTTTGGGGTAACCCAAAAAAAGGAACTACAATGGAGAGAGACTATAGAAATAGCCCACTGCATTGGATGCGCATTTCAGGCTCTGGAGGAAGATGCAAAGCTGCAGGCAGGGAAGACGCTGCAGACTCGAGCCGTTGAATGGGGCGGTTTGGGTTGTTGAGTCTAGAGTTTGGTTCTAGGGTTCAGGTTTCAGGGTTTGGGGTTTCAGGGCTGAGGGCTTATTCGGGTTTAGGGTTTAGGGTAACTTATAGGGTTTAGTTAAGGTTCATGGGGTTGGGGGTGGTGGGGTTTGGAGAGGCGGTCCTTCAGGAAAGTTTACCCAGGCTGACATCGAGTTCCGGTAGGATCATGTGGGAGTTTCCGAAAAACAGGGGCACCGTATTTGGGGCTCCTTATCATATGGATCCTATTATTTCGGATACGATATTAGGTCCCCTATTTTCGGAAATCCCCACATTAAACCCTAAACCTTCTTAGAACCCTTATAGATCCCTTAAAGGAACCTTTATGGTACCCTTTAAAGGAGCCGCAGTGCTCCTGAGGGGGCCCAAGCACTCGCCAGGGGGATGTTGCTGCTGCCACCGCTGCTGCCAAAGGTGCCGACCACACCGAGGCCAGGAGATTTGCCGTGATGCCTACTACTGTTGATGATAGAGAAATCCTGCATTACATTAAGGGCCCTAAACTATGGAATTATGGTATATTCCTCATTATGGGTCATGCAGGAGTTTTATCATCAACCGTATGTTTGGGAAGGATCATGGGACTTAGTAAGTAGGCTATAATTGGCGTTATAAGTCCCCTAAGTGGGGTTACCCTAATTATAGCCTACTTATAACCTTACTTACCAAGTCCCATGAGCCTTCAAGTATACTATACTACCCCTCATTCCAGCTGCCTTCTGTTGCTGTAATGCGTTGTCCCTTAGTCCGATAAATCTTCTGCCAACTTGTGCTCAGGCCTCCCAGGCGCAACAAGTGGCTTCTCTTCGGCTGAGGCCGTGTGGGAAGAACAGCTCAATCCTTTGCTGCTGATGTCCACCTCCCCCTTTCATACCATGGGCCGAATTTTGATGTTGGAGCATATTGGTTTCGGTATGTTGGGCTGCAGAATTCATGGTGATGCCGTCCGAGTGACACGTAGAGAGTCCAATTCACCACAAAGTCCGTTCATGCAGTCTCTGTGGTTGGTGTGACACCTCTCTATTCAGGCCTGCAGGTTTGCTTACAGGCTGCCGAGCAGATCTTTACATATATATATATATATATATATTTATGCATTTGTAGTATGTATACATGTATGTTTTTTATTTACATATGTATATGTATATGTATATGCATACGCATTGGCAGTTGTATCTATATATACGCATTTGTATTTGCATGTGGTATAATATCCCTTGCTGAACGAGAGAGAACCCGAGACCTCAAAACTCTGAACAATGCCTACTTGCTACTGCCGAAAGCTCCTCCCACCACAAGCGCGAGGGCTGGGAGTGTTTCTCGTGCTCTCAGAGGCCGTCAACCCTGTTACTTCCGGCCTTCTCGACCTCTGAGTAACGTATGTCATATTGATTAGCAGTGCCTCTGGTTGTGGCGATGGTGGTTGTTGTGCTGGTGGTGGTTGGACAGGTCAGGCAGCGGAGGCCGTCAGCATCAGCTCAACAGTCACCAAGATAGCACCAGCTTTCAGGGCTGTGCCGCTGGAAGCAGAAGTGGCCAGCATCACCACTGAAAATTCTCAGGTTATCAAAACCAAGAGGCGAGCATCACGAGCATCAGCTGCGGCTTGCTGTGCCTCCACAGGCAAGCCGGACGAGCATCATGAGCATCAGCTGCACCCTGCTTTGGCCCTGCTATCGCTGGCCAACAGCACCGGCCTTCATGCCTATCGTCGTGGTGCAGCAAAAACCGCAAGCATAATCAGCATCAGTTTGGACATTCTTGACCGACCGAAACGAAGGTGCCAGCATCATCAGCATCAGCTGCAATCAGTCTTGCCCGTTTGCCCGATCGCGGCGAGCATCATCAGCATCAGCTGCAGCGTGCTTTGCCTCGATGCCAGATCCCGGCGAGCATCATTAGCATCATTTGCACCCGTCCTCGCCGCCCGCCCCGTTTGTGGGCGGACTCAAATAGCTGGGTGGAAGTAGCAGAAGACGTAAGCATCATCTGCATTGGCTTATAAATTCCTTGGACATCGAACGGAAGAGGGCAGCATCATGAGCATCAGCTGCGACGTGCATTGCCGGTTTGCCGGGATTCGGCGAGCATTATCAGCATCAGCAGAGGCGTGCTTCGCCCGTGCAACGCGCCACGCTGGATTCCGAAACTCTTGTAATCAATATGCAGAAGCCAGCATGAACAGCATCAGCTGCTGAATCAGTGTCGCCTGCGACGCGCATAGTGCCTCTCACTGTCCCAAAACGAAAGTCGTTGTCGTTGGTACCCAGCGCGACATGTTCCATGACGATCACGGTCAACACAGCTTCTTCCACCATCGATATGAATGTGCGACACATGGCATGGTCATCATGAGCGTGACCTCAACCATACTAGCGCTACTCATCAGTATTGTCGTCATCGGGTTGTTCACTTGGACAACATGGATAGTACAAGACTTGCATTCTCAGATCTGAATGTCGCTTCTGCTTGATAGAAGGTCTTGACGTCCTTTCAGACTGAGCAACTGTTTACAGCTTCCCTTTTGCACCGGGGTGTCGAAGCTCCGAGCAAGTTTGACAAGCAGCGGCATCAGTCATGTTCTTGCTTGCTTGGAGGATCATGGGACTTAGTAAGTACGGCTATAAGTACCTTAAGAGGGGTTATAGGTAGTTATAAGTATAGCTACCTTAATCATAACCCTAATTACTAAGTCCCATGAACCTCTAAGTGTGCGAATCGGACGTCCGGTTCCGAAGCATGCGCTCTCCAGACTCCTGATTTGTTTAGGGGTTAGGAATCTAGGGTTTAGGTGTTCAGGGTATAGGTTTTTTAGGATTTTGGGCTGAAGGGGTTAGGTCCGTAAGCTACCTATAATTGCAATTGGGAGAATCATGAAGCAGAAGGAAGCTCGTAGCTCGCATTGCTACTACTTCCTATTCCGGTCATGTCAATGTGAAGCCCCAGGTCCACCATCCACATATGTCCCAAATCCACAATTCCAAGCCAGAGCCCTTGTGAGACCCCATTATGAACAACAGACCTTAGAAACTCTGCTGCCCATAAGAAGTCGGGCAAAACACTATGACTGATGAGACTCCTTTAACGCCCTATGATGAAGACCAGCTTCTTCAGATCCCTATTATTAAGATCCCTTCTGTAGAACCAACGATCATATTTAAGCTTCCCATATGGGAGCTTCCGGAAATAGGGGACCCGCATCTAGTACCCTAAATAGTAGGATCCTTATTACAAGGACCCCCAAAATAAGGTACTCCTAATTATCGGAAACTCGAAACCCTTATGGTAAGCCTGTAAAGGAACCCTGAATTTTCGGAAACTCTCACATTCCCACCCCAAGAGGCGGCATCAGCTGCAGACTGCAGTCCAACAGACTCGCGGCCAAGTCCCTGCCTCGACGCTATGTGTGGGAGTATCCGAAAGTTAGGGGTATTTTATGTGGGATCCTTATAATGAGGATTCTTCTATTTAGCGTACTATATAAAGGTCCCACATTTTCGGAAACTCCCATGTATGGTTTAGGGTTTGAGGCTTAAGGTAGGGGCCTTAACTATTACAGTAGGGGTTTTGGGGGGTCCTTACTATAGTTATAGTATACTCTACCCCAAACCATTTTCAATTTTATTATGGCCCCTACATTATGTGAGATTACGTATGTGGGGTTTAGGGTCAGATGATGGGCTTGCTTTGAGGTTAAAGTGATCTAAAGGCCGCCCCGATTTATCGCCGACACCATATCATTCCTTCTCCTCGATACCACAATATGTCACCAAAGCCGCAGTCTGTTTCCAAAGTAGAGGCCCCGATTTTGAATCCGAGACACTAGCCACAAAGTTCCGAAACGGACTCCTTCCACCGCCCGCGCCCTGACCCCCAGAGTTCTACACTGATGCCCAACCACGTCAAGCTTAAATTCGCGACCTTGGGTGTGACATTGCCCATCACTGGAAGAGCTTCGGAAACCCCGTGACTGTCCCACTATACTATACGATACTATACTACACTGTGCTATAAAGACATGAAATATAACATGCCGAAAGTAAAGTTTCGGGTTAGATCAAACTCGACGACTATATTGTATCACAACTTCCTTAAGCTTATTTGTTTATGTGTTTGTTAGTTTCTTATACATACATGGCAACAGAACGTGTTTTCGGACTTCGAGCATGTACTCGCGGAGTTTATTTCTCCAAACCCCCCTGCTCGACTTGTAAACAGGACAATGTGCTTTCATGTGCCCGATGCATCAAAACCGTCTTGGCCCACAAATCCAATCCTGGGAGTGCTCTTGAGAGATTAGAACTAGAACGTTCTGGAAGTCGGCACATCCAAGTTGCCGGAACCCATAAAGGTCATCAGCGAAAGCCACGTCGCCTACCGCCCTGAAGCCCATGAAAGGCTGCGACCCAGCACCGCTTAGCGGAGCAGGAGCGACACGAGGCCACGGAGAGGGCAAAGGGAGGCAGAGGCTTCGGGGCCGCGACTTCAATTAATGGGGTGTGGGGATTTAAGGGGTTGAACTGCGCAGTTCAAGCCCCAAACTTTCTTCCAAAATAGCACTATAGGGAACTCCAGAAAGTTGGAATATGGTTTCAGGGTAGGATACCTGATAATTTACCATAAAGGGTTTAGGATAACCATATTCCAACTTTCTGGCTTTTACTGTAAGCGACTTTTGTGTTGAATGAGGACTCAGGGATGATGTGAATGTACTCGATATCGGCGCCAAATCCGGCGCCCTCAGCCCTCAAACTGTCAATCTCGGAGAGGATATTACAAGATACAGTCGTAGATTGTATCATGTTGTATCATATTGCACTTTATTATGCCATATGACTTATACGATACTCGATTGCACATGTTTTGTTATGTTACAATAGTTCACACTATTCCATATTCTACTATCTTTTTCTGGTATTACACTACATCATATTGTATCGCATCGTGTCATAATATGCTGTTTGGCAGTGTATGATCGTGCATTATTCTTTGCTTTTCCTTAGCATATTTGGAGTATATGTATAGTATCCGCTATATGGTGTATATTGTAAACTTTATCTTGTAGCATGGGTTATATATGAGTGATTAGATAGTATACAATATGTGTTGTATATTGTATACTATACGTTATACAATATATGTCATGTAATATTTTACACATATGTAGCTATTATTCATGTCACATTGAGGTACTCACTGTGTCTATAGTATGCTAGAAGCATAATTATGTAGGTATATATATATATATATATATGAAAGTTGTTAACGTGCCGTATATATATACACATATATATATAAATATATAATCATACTTACACATACATATCGAGCATCTTCGGTGTTATTTTGATACATCATATCGTCATGGTTTTGTACTTAAAAGCCCGAAGCTTTTCAGAGTATACTGCCCCGTACCTTGAACTGGTAGAGTGCAGGGTTCAGGGATCAAGGGTAATGCAGGGGCCTTAATAATAACAATTAGAATATGGGTTCCTTATTATAATTATAGTATACTATACCCCCACACCCCTTCTGTTAACCATGGAGCAGGTGCGACGTTTGGAGGCCTTGCTGGAGGGCGGCCAGATGAAGCTGCAACGCAGCACTGCCGACCTCGAGGCCCCTTTCGCTGGCGGCTTGGCCCCAGCATCTCTGTGATCCCCCCAAAATTTGTGAACCCCGAATTTATAAATCTACAAGTCTGGTTGTCTTTGTCTTATAAAAGTTGGACAAGCAGATAAATACCAAAATCTCTGAACCCCGAACTTATCCATTTACAGTGTTGTTGCAAGCACGAAGCTAGCTCAGCAGGTAACTACAGACATGTTTAAGTGTATATACATGCATACATATGTAAATACACATACATACACATACATGCATCACATACATACACATAAAACAGATATGTGTACAAGTATACATACAGATGTATATTATATGTGCATACCTACTCCCCGCTGCAATGCTAATCTCAAAGAACTGACAGACCAGTTGACTTATCATGCTGTGCCTGCTCCACAAGACGATGTTATCATATTAGGTTGTAAATCTCTGTGTGTGTGTGTGCATAGCCGTGTGTGCCGATATGTCTGTATGTGTGTATGTATGTGTGATTAGGTATGTATGCAGGTACGTAGGAATGCCATATGTATACAGATGTGTAGGGAGAGATAGAGATATAGATAGAGTGCGAGACAGAGAGTGTGTGTGTGTGTGAGAGAGTGCGTGAGAGAGTGCGTGAATGAGTGCGTGAGTGATGGAGTGGGGAATGAGAGAAGGAGTCGAGGGAGGGGAGGGAGGGGGCTTGTATGTCTCTGTCTCAAGAACTCACGACATGCCCTTATCTGCGCACTATCCTTAGTTTCCGGACACTCGCATATCTCCGAAAGTCGAGTTGGCCAGGGCCAAGCCCGACACCCCTGAACCCTTGGCCAGGCGTTGCGAAGATGTTTGGAGCATCAGCGTTCTCCAGCTGCTCTAGGCCGGTTTGGCCGCAGCTGCCGTCGAGACGGGCTTTCGCAACAGCAGCAGCAGTGGGAGTGGTGGTGGTATTGGTGGCAGTATTAGTAGTAGTAGTAGTAGTAGTAGTAGTAGTAGTAGTAGTAGTAGTAGTTGTTGTTGTTGTAGTCGTCGTATCATGTTTTCGTATTGTTACTGTTGTCATTACTACGAATAGTACGATTCGTACTATTACTTTTACTATTTTCATCTTATTACTCTCACATCTAAAAGTGCTTCTATTAACTACTATATTGCATGATTAATGATGTTGACCATTACTGACTATTATCTTGACTAGTAAGACTACTATAACTATTGCTGTTCCAAGTATAGCTATATGGTTATGAAAGCCAACACCTCCTGCTGGCACGCAGCCTCGGGCAGGGAGCTCTGTGCAACAGTGGAAGCCTCAGTGCTTCCAAGGCTTTAACTTTAATCATGGGGACCCTTAGGGGGGTATGGGGGACTATACTTCCTTAATAGGCCTTATTAGGTCGTTATTCTGGGCATACCCCCCTCCCCCTACCCCTTTAAGGGTTTCTATGATTTAACTTTTTTGTGGCGATGATTGCAACTATGCCCCAGACACCAATTACATGACAGGTTCGATTCTCAGGATCAAATGCAAATACCCAAGCACCACCAAGAAAGCAATGATGTAAAAGTTCAGTGGTGTCATGGCAACTTTTGCGGTTTCCTCAACTTCACTTCATGCATCCGACACCCTTTCGACACGCTTGCAAGTTCAGCCAGAGGTTGAGATTCGGCCCAGAAGAACGGCTGGGTTAGGGCGAACTGATCTGCAGGGCTGTGCAGCAGGAGGAATGTCGATGGGAGCAGCATGATACCCGAGGCACTGTTTACGGCGGACCCAGAGCTTAGTACTTGGCACAGACAAGCAACAAATTCAGCCTAGTTGAGGTCCCCGTCTGCCGACGAGCTGAAGCAGCAGGTGGAGCGAGAGTACACCAAGGCAGCCGGCAGTGCTTGTGTTCCTGGCCTGTCCAGGATATGGGGCCGAGGTCGACAGTTCGAGCAACAACTCTAAACAGTACCGGAGCGTTGCGGCTAGCATTCCCGTGTGCTGCAGTGGATTCCACCCAGAAACCTTGCTACGCAAAGAGTACTGAAGAGCCTTGGGGTACCACCGTCGCCACAGTTTGACGCATCAAATTGGCCCCGTTTGTCTTCTGAAACGTGCTTCAACACAAGTTTCGGCATCGGACGAAGCCTGAAAAAAGCGAAGCGCCTCGTCGCTGTGAGCTTGAAGTCATCACCGTGACAAGGCTGTAGCAGAAGAAAGGAGAACCCCAAAACCCTTAAACCCTTAAACCCTAAAGCCTTAAACCCTAAACCCTAAACCCCGGTTGTTGGCGTAGTTTGGGCCTGGGGCTTTAAACCCCCGAAAACCAAAGCGCCTGCAGTCATGTCCCGGTGAAACCCGAACAAGCCCCCTAAACCCTTAGCTAAACCCCCAAATCCTACGCCCTAGACGGCCTTAAACCCCACACGGCGCGATGCATGAGACCCCTAAACCCTAAACCCCAAGAAGGAGCAATGCATGAGTGCTCTAATCCCTAGACCCCTTAACCCGAAACCCCAGAAGGCGCAATGCATGAGTCCCCTAAACCCTAACCCCCAAACCCTAAACCCTAAACCCCTGGGGCTTCTCACAGTCTGCAGTCGGTAAAGGGTGCTTTAAAAACCTGAAACCCCAAAAGGAGCAATGCCTTACATTTGCTTAGTAGGGAATGGAGGAATGGGGTACAATTATAACTACGATGACTACCATTCTTCCATTCCCTACTAACCAAAAATCAGATGCATAAGATCTCATGCAGTGGGGGGAGCTGGAAGAAGAGCAGCAGAGCCTGGAATCCGAGGCTGGTCGGGTTTAGGGGTTGGGGGGTTCCTCTAAGTGACCTATAAGGGTTTAGGGTTGGGGGTTCGGAATCACAGTTCGGAGTTTGTGGCTTAGGTTTCGGGGTTTTCAAAGTACACTATAACCGTGCATTATGTAGCATGGTAACCCATCATGAGTTTAGGGTTCTTGGCAAGGGCTTTAATTTAAGTTACCAGAGTAAGAATAAGGAAGCCATATTAATTACTATAGATCCCTACTATGGTAGAGTAAATTCCTTAACCCCTCAACCTTTATAGAACCCTAATGGAACCCTAAATTATGGTACCCTTATAGAACCCTTAAAGGAATCCTAAACTATGGTAACTTAAACTCCAGTTCAGGGTTTAGGGGATCCGATCTCGGGAAGGAGCCCAAGGCTTTTGCAGCTTCCAGGTTGTCCGATTGCGGATTTTTGGTTTAGGGTTTAGGGCTTGGGGTTTAGGGCTCGGGGTTTAGGGCTTGGGGTTATAGGGTTTAGGGCTTGGGGTTTAGGGCTTAGACCTTAGCTCATAGGGTTCAGGGTTTAGGGGAGCTCACAGGTGGTGGCCTTTCCTGCAGGGCTGTACGGTTTCAGGTTTTGGGTCATAAAGCTTCCGAGGTTCGGTTCGCTCGAAACTACAGTCACAACAGCCTTAGCCGTGAGTGTGCTCTTGTGTCTTGCTGGGTTGCTTCTCAACCTTTTAATACTCATAGTTTTAACTGCCTTGGGCGCCAGTCGCATCCCGTTGGCGACGCCAATTTTGCCTAGTGAGACCTAGTAGTTCGGACCACCCTTAATAACCATAGTAACGACCCTAAACCCTAAGCCCATTGTGTCCGATGCGTGAAGGTCCTGCGCCTGCGAGCAGAGCTACGTCGACTGAAAGGTCAAAGACCGACTTAGGCAGGAAATTCTGGACTTGGCAATGTGTTGCATCTTTGGCTTTTGCGGTTTAGGGCACTTAGGGAGCTAGCAGTCTTTTTGGTGGATACCCACCCTCCTCGTAAGGTTGGCACATTTTGACTCGAGGAACCCTGGGAAGTAGTATAGGGATCGGAGCAAGGAACAGGTTCATGACAGCAGCTAATCCGTCTCTCGCGCCGGCAGACATGTACCAATGCTAGTGACGAGTGCTTTGCGGCAAAGACTGGCCCAGAGCATGGTCGCCTCGATTCCCGGGCGCATGTACGTTTTAACTTTTAAATTAGCGTCGGTCCGATGGTGGACGGGCCGGCTGTGCCAGGGGTCGTCGTCGTCGTCGAGACTTCGAACGCAATACGTGTATCGCTGAACCCATGCAAGACTGCGTCTTCCTCGTTTTTTTTTGTTTGCTCACTCTCGCTCTATCTCTGTCTCTGTCTCTGTCTCTGTCTCTCTCTCTCTCTCTCGCTCGCTCGCTGTCATATTATGTTCTTACGAATACATATACACAGACAATACCACTACATACACATGTACATATGTATGTACACGGACACATACACATACCCTTGCTTGCATCTACTCATACACAAACATGCAGGCATGCACGCATATGTCAAGATGTATATGCACATGCATATATACCTACATCCACAAATTCCAACAAAAATGTATATGCATATATACATTTAAATGTACATGAGGCAAGTGATTAAGACAGAAAGTAAGGCGGCGAAGTGAACGCGTGGCTTCCAGCTTTGCTTACAGCCATTCAACAAAACATACGTCGACCCGCAGTCACCGATCCACTCCGACATCCGGACCCGGAAAAGCATATGAAGAGAAGGACATAATGTAGGGCTCGTAATAATTAGATTAGGGCTTGTGGGGTATTTTATGGTATAAGTGTCATAAGGAATCCGTAAAAAGCAAATGAAGAGAAGAACATAGGTAGGATTTAGGGTTGTATGCGGAGACCCAGAAGAGGGTTTCCAGGCTCTAAGCCTTAGCCCTAGACCTGCTCAGTTCAAGCGCTTTTCTGTGGGTCCCTCCAGGACTTCAGTTAACGACTCTGACAGTTAATGGCGCTGCTCCGCAGCTGCATGGACTGGGTCGTTGCCTGCCAGTACCGACGACCTTAGCCTAGGGTTTGAGGTGGGGGTTTGGGTTTTGGGAGGGTGCCTAGGAAGGCATGGGAGAAGGGGACAATTGCAAAACAAAGTTTGGTCCATACTTGTATGCCCTAGACATGGCATATGGAAGTTGCAGCTTATATAACAAACTAAATGTTCTTTAGTCGCCCTGAACCGGCTTAAGTACTTCAGCGGAAGATGCTGTGCTGCTCGGATTCGCTTGTTGCCCGAAATCCCCGACGGGTGCTACTCTAGATATATGTCGAGACGTTCTTGTGTTGCTGGGCAGCATAGTACCGTCGAGCTCGAACGGTCTCTTTTGGTCGTCCTAGATTCGGTTCACGGACATAGATGAGTTTAGTACTGAGTAAATCGGGCCAAATCTTTCGCGACATTGTGCCGGTCGCAGATGTTTCAAGCTACGAGGGTGAACTCGGCAGCTAGTTAATGGCTCAGTATTTCGATGCAACACCTGGTCCAGCGGTGTAGCCTTCCGAATTCCACAGCAGCGAAGCTGTCCAAATTCCTCGCAGACATGGATCAATCACACTTCAAGATACTGCAGGTCCTGTGAAGCAAGAGTTCAGTCATCGCAGACACGTTTGATACTGACTTAGACGGACTTACGCGGTTCCACAGCTAGTGTAGTATAGTATATGACCATATTTTGTCGTTCATTGTGTATGAACCCATCTTATTATGATTACAATTATTGATATCTTTCATTATTAGTAGCAGTACTATTGTCGTGTATCATGTTTGTTGAAGCTTCCGGTCGGCACTGGAGTTTGTGCATCTTCCGGGGAAAGCTCACTCGGAGGAGTGCGTACGAAAGTGAGTCGAAAGGGTGCGATTTGAGGTGATTGGGTTTAACGGTTTAGGGCGGGTTTGAGTCGAAAGGGTGCGATTTTAGATGATTAGGTTTAGGGTTTAGGGTTTGAGTCGCAAGGGTGCGATTTTAGATATATTGGGTTTAGTGGAAGGAACGGGTGGGGGGGATTGCAGTTGCACGTCCTCTGATTAGGCAACGTCGTCTGGCAAAGGTTTGCCTGTTTAGGGTTTAGGGTTTAGGCCAGGTTCAGGAACACTGGTTCCGGCGAGCTAGTTGGGTCAACAAGCGCAGTATGTGGTTGCATGAACCATGACGCTGATGACTTGCTCGCTTGTGTAGAGAGCGTGTACTGGAAAACTCAGGTAGGTTGCAGCTACGGGACCTTCGCACCAACCATGTTTGTGTATACACGACAAAGTCTCCGAGAACCAATGCGTTAGACTCCCAAGAGGGAGTACGACCCTTGTGATGACGAACTGTGGGCAAGGATTTGGCAACCTTCAAGCATAAAACAGGCCGCGACCACAAATGCATGCAACTCTAAAGCCTAAACCGTAGATGAGCTCATGGGTAGGTAGGTAGGTGACTTAGAACCCAAAGGGTCCAAGCACCATTATGCTAGGTACTTAGTACCCTAAAGTATATACTATATGGTTGCTGGGACCCTGTGGGGAAACGATCCTTTGGGCAGGGCCTGCCGTCTCCAGATCGCGTCAAGGACAACCCCTACTTCCTTGAGGCGAGAAGCATCCTAATTGTCATGGCTGTAGTCAAAAACCGGCTTTTTGGAGCACGAACAGCATCACCAGCATTGTACAGCTGTGAGGTTAAACTCCAGGGCAGCAGTGATGTTAGTATCGCTACTAGTACCTCTTTTCTCATACTGTGAACCATCATGTCGTGAAGCAACAGAAGCATCCCTTCCCCCCAGTGCTAGAGGCTCCCGAAGGTGAAATATGGTATTTGTGGAGCTCACTTGGTCCGGAGGATTTGGGCATGAACGGAGCCGTTGTGATTTCAGTGATCAGCAGGAAAGCATGTAGGGCTTTAAGAAGTTTCAGGGCCCCGGAAACTCTCACGATCTCCATTTCCAGCATGTGCTAGCAAGCGTGAGTGGGTCTGAGTTAATACAAGGAGCAGAAATAAGAGACTGCATGGGGAGTTGAGTGATTGCATATTGCAAAACTAATGTCTTAGTTTCTGACAGAAGATGATCATCCTGGCACAATGAAAAGCAGAGCCCTGACAACTCCGCTCGACTTCTAAAGAGGCTGCGGCCTTTAATCGTAGGGAGCAGGGATGCGCATGAGTAAACCCGTCAACAGTAATTTGAGGCAACCGCTGTAATGCCAAGATGAGTAAGCTAGTCTTCGCAGTTTGGGAATTCGGGCCTGTAAGGGCTGTGGAGCTTTTCGTGTGTCGTATAAGGATATGCAGTCGGCGACAGTTCGAGAGAGTTTGGGGTTTAGGGGTGAGGAGTGACGAGCAGTGTCACTACATTGTCAGACTGAAGTTGCAACCAGTCCAAGGCTTTATCGGTGAATTATCTTCCAGGTCATTGGGAGCAGGCACTACGTTGTGGTTATATACTGTAGCCTGAATGGCTGTTTTGAAGGGCATTGGGTACAACTCGACTGAAATTGCATGTCAGCTGCTTTTGGTGCTGCTAGACAAGCCAGACTACATTGGTTTACTTTTGATCATGCGCTTCGCTGCTGATTGCAGTCCTACCACATTTTTGTCTGATACGATCTCCGACATGTCAGCTTGCAGTAGGTTGAACACTATTCATTGATGTGCGGTGTCGTGTTCTCGATAGGAATTGCTATGATGCTTCAAGTTTTGAGGAAGCGTGCTGCCACAAGCAGCGCTATCATCGCCTCCGATCATGACAGGGTGCTTAATGTATTACGGTAGATCTTGGGTCTCATGCGATCTCATGATGCTTCAGCATTGTGCTTGTTCCTGAATGGGGCAGGGGCCTCAAAAGGAAGGATGAAGGCAGGCATAGGATTGAGGATCGCTGATGAAAGGACCCTTGGCTGAGATCACCACGTTTGCCTTCATCCCATCCGTGGATCCCTCTGAAGAACTACTACCACAAAGTGCAACATGCTTGCGATAATACACTGATAGAATACTACAACATATTGTAATGTGCTAGATTACTGTACGATACTGTAAGATACTATCATATACTATGAGTAATATATCATAATATACAAAGAGTCTATTCTAATATACCACTCTAGAACTGATATTCTGACGAAAGTTGGCTGCTCCTCGTCAGGGTGACTACCAAGCGCCGGCTGGGAGCGACAACTTCCAGGCGCCCAGCGTCCCTACTGTTTAGGGTGCAGGGTTTAGGGTTTGGGGTTTTAGGGTTTGGGGATTTACGGTTTAGGGGTTTGGGGCTTAAGGTTCAGGGTTTAGGGTGGTGTAATGAAGGGGCTTGTCCTTTAAAGGGTTCTACCAGGGATCTACAGTAGGGTTCTATAACGTAGGAGCCGGCATAATTAGAATGGGATTCCTTTAAAGGGTTCTTTTTGAAGGGGCCTATAAGGATGACTTTCAGGGTTACTAGAAGGGTTTAGAACATAGGGGCCTCAATGATTAGACTAGAGGTCGGGGGCATATTATACTGTATCTAAACTGAGGAATCCCTCAGACCCTATTTTAGTTATTAAGGCTACATGATGTTTTGTCTTTACATACTTGGAAATGTTTGATATGTGTATATGGGTTGTTTCAAATGCTCGTATCATGCAGATCTTTCCGGCTGGGCGCCCATGTGCATACATATATATATATATAGATGTGTGTGTGTGTGTGTTTGTGTGTATGAATGTGTGTATTCATGCATGCATACATTAGGGATATATCTTTATATGTATATGAACCTACATCTACGTACTGTACATGTGTATACGTACATATGTGTACATACTTACACAGACACATGCATGCATACATAAACTCATGCGTTCATGGATGCATATATGGTACTGCAAAATATACCTCCCCATGCAGATCTACATGTCCTGCATGTATGCATGCGTGCTTGGTTGCGCGTATGGCAGAATGCCTCAAAACAGAAGTGTAATGCATGACCGAAATGAATGAATGAATGAATGAATGAATGAAGGCATGAATGAGTGCACTACTGGAAGGATAGAGCAAGTATGGATGAACTGTTGTAGGTAGTGTTTGTAATTATGAACGGATGGCTGTAATGCATGCATGCATGTATGCATGTATGTGTGTAGTATGTATATGTATTTAGTATGTCTGTACGTAACATGTATGTATGTGAATTATGTGTACAGGTATGCATGCATGTCTGTATGTATGCAATTAGATATGCATTTGTGTATCGAATCTACGTGTGCATGCACATGTGTATGCCTATGCATGGATGGCTGTATGTATGTATGTATGTACGTATGTGTACACGTGTATTTATTTGCAGGACGTCTACAGATTCGGTGAAGCCTTTAAGTTTGCGAAGTCTGGTTTTGTTTCGCTGGTTATACATTGTCTCGTGCATTATAGATCACTGCGTTCTATAACGAAGCATTGGCCCACCATGGACGTCGAACAGCGTTCCTATGATACTTGAGATCGCCGGGTGTGCTGCTAAGAAACTGGGTGTAATGGCTGCCGGGGCTGCTGGAGTACACTCACTCCCGAATTCTTCAAAGCCGACACCCTTCACTTCAAGCCTTGACTGACGGGATGTCAGAGGGAGCACTTGTCCCTCCCCTGACTGCATACCAGGCCTTCCTGCAGTACAAGTCTGTGTCCCGCCGCTGAATTGAACGATCATCTTTCTCATCAAAGCGCAGACCAATGTTGCAGGAAGGGAGGCTACTTCGTCTCATCTGCATACTTCAGATTTGACGGTCTCGAGTTCGGAGGTTTTGAGGTTGCAAGTGACCTGGTGCTGTGAAGTGAGTACATACACTGAAAAGTGTGCTGGTCGCTCAATTCATTCAGCAGCTTTGTTGAGGTTCGATGTGGACGACGCCCTTTGTGTCATGAAGGCCGAACCTTCCGTCCCTGAATGCTAGTGCTAGGAATCTTACAAGTACTTTCCAAAACTCTCGCGTGCCGCATGGCGTCCAAAACCTCATTCTGCTGCCGTGTGACCGGGGTTGCATTTCGAAACTCGTGGTGCAAGCAGCACGTAGTATTCTTAACAGCACACGCACACACATGCTAGTGTCTTGAGGATCAATCATCACATTCAGGCGCGTGCTAACTTCTCATCTCATTTCTCACGATGAAGATGTCAGCACGATGGCCAGGAAAGGTGAGGTCCCAGATGAAGTTGGCGAGGACAAGGACGATCAGGATGCTAATGATGATGCGAATGTGGGTGATGTTGTTGATGATGGCAGAGAGAAGGCAGAGGTGCACGAGAAGGAGGAGTTTCTTCTTCTTCATCGTGATCATCCAGGGCAACATCATCGTTGCAACGGCAACGGCGAGAAATGGTGACTGTGATCACATCGATGATGACAGCAATGACGACGGCGATGCTGCTGCTGATGATGATGTTGGCATGCTGACGATGCTGGAAGGATGTTGATGAAGTTTATGAGGATGGTGACGACGACTCCGGCGACACCGGTGACGGTGATGACAATGATGCTGCTGCTGAGGGTGCTTTTGTAATGAGCGATTGGCAGGGCTTCTTCCGCGACATTGCAATCCCGGACCGATTTGTCCGATCCTTACCCTTTGCCATTGTGCCCTCCACAGCTTGCGCCGGTTGTTGGCAGCCGTTTTAAGCATGGGCGTCGGTAGCTTCCAACTCCCGGAGTTTCACCGACTGCCCTGAAAGCAAGATCCAGAGTCCAGATCAGGAAAGCTTCGCTTTCGTCCACCTGGATTCTGACCTCTATGACTCCGTCTACGACTCCTTGGAGAAGGCAACGTGCATCATTTTCAGTATATGAGAGTTTCCGAAATTAGGGGTATCTTGTTTGGGGGTCCTTATCATACCCTGCGGGTTCACTTCCAAGAGTGGTTTCGACTCGGTTTTTTCGGGATTTCGTGTTTTTGTTTCAGGGGAAGACAAAGGTTTTGAAAGGATTATGTTCAGGTAGATTGCAGTCAGTTCACGGTTTTCACTTGAGCTGCCACTGTCAGTCCCAACCCTGCAACTGAATGCCTTGAGGCTGGGTTCACAAGTTAGCCCGAGCTGGTCAAGTGCATACGCGGCACACTCCAGGCGACTCGAGCCAACCATGCCCCATTCATGAGATGAAGTGCGCACAGCCGGAAGCCACACAAACCCCATGCCAGCGGAAACCTTCATGCCCACAGCTTCATCGAATGTTTTGTCATGTCATATCCCGGAATCCCCCTTTTTCAAGCGGAAACCTTCATGCTTACAGCTTCATCGAACGTTTTCTCATAACCCCTTTTCAAGCGGAACCCTGATGCCTACAGCTTCATCGAACGTTTTGTCATATCCATTTTGAGAAGCCGAAAGCTTTTTGCCTCATTTCAGGCGGAGCCAGGTGAAAGAGACGACATGGCCAAATCACACCCCACCCACCCCCCCCCCCACCCCATCCCCACCCCAGAAAACAAGCAGAAATGCGGCACACATTGCTGCCAAACGCGCATAGCGCGTTTGGTCTTGCGGAGTCCTTTCTATGCTGTGTTCAGAAAGCCGAGGCACACAATGCCACTACTGCGAACACCTGCAAATAGCGGCATTTCCAGCACTTTCCGTAGCATGCAGGACAAGTCCCGGCCTCAGTAAGCAGTGAAACCCCCAAAAACGCACCATTGCAACTGAACCCGCTAGCTTATCATAAGGATCTTACTATTTAGGGTACTATATTAGGGTCCCCTATTTTCGGAAACTCCCATATGAATTTAACATAACGGCCATGAGCTGCTGAACTGTGGCACTGCTCAGTGGGCGTTGCAGAATGTGCCGAACTGGAGGTGTGGGACCGATTATCGCCGGGGGGCGCAGTGGCTGTGGATGACTTCTTCCACCATGCGCAGGTCCGGGTTTAGGGGTTAGGCTTGATCTCACTCTGAATAACGCTTAGAGTTTGGGATGTAGGCTTTAGGGTTTAGGTAGCTCTGATTAACACCTTAGGGGTTTGAGAGGTCTCGAGGGTTTAGTGTTCAGGCGATCGAGGCAATGATTTCAATTGCATGTGAGAGCCGAGCACATCGGAAGCACGGATTCCTTTCAGAGCCGAAGCATTTAACCCAATGCACCCGCGATTCAACGAAGAAGACCTGACACCCCGATATTGTCTCGCCGCGGTCAGCCTGATAGACCCTAAACCCCAGAAAAACAATAGTCCAATGTTATAGAACCCTACTATAGATCCCTTTTAGGGCCCCTTCAAGGAAGCCTTTCAGGAAATCCCACTATAGATCCCTTTAAGGGCCCCTTTAAGAAACCTTTCAAGAAACCCTACAGTACTATAGATCCCTTTAAGGGCCCTTTTAAGAAAGCCTCTCAAGAAATCCCAGAGATCTCATCTCCAGGGCCCGGCCCGCGCCGTCTCGGACTTTTTTCGGTCGCGGGCCAGCAAGGCAGAGATGGGGCGGCTGAGGGCTCAGGGTTTAGGGTTTAGGGTCTAGGGTTTAGGGTCTAAGTCTAGGGTTTAGGGTTTAGGGTTTATAGGGTTTAGGGTTTGTAGGGTTGAGGGTTTAGGGTTTATAGGGTTTAGGATTTATAGGGTTTAGGGTTTATAGTTTTTAGGGTTTTATCAGGGATCTATAAGGGTGCGTACGGGATCTATAAGGGTTCCTTCGAAGGCTGAAATCTTGCAAAGCTTGAGTTTCAAAGGACCTGTATAGGGGATCTATACTTAATAAGGCTTCTACAAAGGGATTTCGGGTTTTTCCTTCAGAGGGGTCTGTGTATGGGTATAAGGGACCTATATATAAGGTTTCTATTAAGTGGTTTCGGTTTCTGGGTTTAGGCTTTAGGGTTGAGGGTCTAGGGTATCGGGTTTAAGGTTTAGATCAGTCGGGTATCGACGAAAATGATCTTTATTGTAGTATGAGTCAAGCTTGGTGATACAAAGATCAACGAGCATGTGGGTACTTTCGTTGCTTTTGCTGCTGTCGCTTTTCTGTCTTCGCCTGTCAGTACCTTACATCCCGGATTTCATTGGGTCTGTTTAGTTTCTCCCGGGCTCGGTGATTTCATACATTCCGTTTCAATTCTGCCCGTGCTAAGCTGTGCAGTAACTTATAGTAGCCCGTATAGAACCCTTGAAAGGAAGCATTAAACCCTATACTCTAACCCCTAAACTCCAAGCCCTAAACCCCAAACCCTAGGTTTAACTAGTCTATCAGGAAGTTTTGCAGTTCGACACGACAGCTTGAAAGCAGGAGCTGCAGAGAGTTGAAACCTTAAACAACATGGACCCCCAAAACAAGCCGTTGACCCCAAGTCTTAAACCCTATAGACCTGAAAATAAAACCTTACCCCTAAAACTTAGACCCTAAATCCTGAACCTAAACCGTAAGCCTTAAAACTTACCTGAAGCAAGATTACGCTTGGCATCATCGGCTCGCTCTGAGCATATTGCGTAATTACTAGGAAGCACAGCGAATACGACGATCAGGAAAACCGTGCTTGAGTTTAGGCTTCTCAATGTACTATATATTATCCTCGGCTATTATTCAACATAATATCATAACGTAAAAGATACTCTACCATACTATCCCATATGGTAGTATATCTGTAGGGTTTCGGGTGCTGCAAGAATGGAGCTAGGCGCAACCGGGAGGTCTCGATGTTTGACTGCCTTGACAGCTCTGTGTTCATGCTTTGCAGACAGGGTGAAGGGCTGTTCCAAAAACAAAACCCTCCAACCCGGCTTTGGCCATGAAGGGTTGGGCCCTGAACCCAGGCTCACGGTTCAGGGCTCAGATAACCCTAAACCATAATCCGTAAACTCTAAACCCCCTGTACCATGATAGATCCCTTATAGGAACCCTTCTAGATCCCTTTAAAAGGAACCCTAAACCCTAAACCCTAAACCTTATCCCTACCCACCCTGGTCGCCAGGAGGAGCCTCCTTTGCTTTTCCCGATCCCCACCTACGCAGTGCGAGACTGAGCGGCCTTCGATCCCAAAAGGGTCCAAGTAACCATATTGGGTGGTTGTCAAAATTATGGTCCCCTTTTGGGTACCCTACAGTAAATATTAGGTATATTACTATATATATATATATATATATATATATATATAAGGGACCCAAAAAGGTGCCATGATTTTGACAACCCCCCGTATAGTATATACTTTAGGGTACTAAGTACCTACTATAGCGGTACTTGGACCCTTTGGGAACATAGCTTCAGGCTGCGAGCCGAGAGGGCAGGTAAGTCGGCAGGTAGCTATGCAGTGTAGGTAGATCGATGGGTGGGCGGCTGGGTGCTGCCCGCATGCATGCTGTGCGTATGTTGGCAGGTAGGTACGTGTACTGGGTGCTTTTATGTGTGCGCGGGCGTGTGTCTGTGTGTTTGTGTGTGTGTGTATTTGCCTGGTGCACTTGGTTTTTGGGTTGTGCGTGACGCATGCAGACACATCGTGTGTCCCTTGCTGCTCACGTAGGTGACTTCAGGGCCTTATCTTTCATGTGCAAAACTAGGAAAGAGTTCAGACTCTGAAGCAAGGTCGCGCGTTTAGGGTGTGATAGGTTTCCGCACTGCGAATGGCAAGTACCGGAAAGTTCAGCAGGCCCTTGGGTAGCGTTAAAAGTTTCAAGCCCAACTTATAACTAGACGAAAGTACATTATGCAGACCCCGGTCTTTATGAGGATCATATCGTGGGATCCTGTGAAACGTACGTCAGTGTAGGACAAGAGGACTCTCCGAATGATCTAGCGACAAGCACAAAGGTAGGCACGTAGGCAAACTCCCGCAAAAAAGGCATGCACGTAGTTTGACGGATGGGCAGCGTATGTGTGCAGATGCATAAGTCATGGATACATGCACAACAGAGCACGATGCAGCAATTTGCCGCAAGCTGGTGTAGATTTCCATGGTAGCATAGGGCAGCAGTGTAGTTTCAGACGGCACCAGGCCCCAGCCGCGATTCGCATGGAGCTCTTGGCTTCCGCATTCCCAGCCGGAGATGCACTCTACGAAACAGACCTTACCGCTTTGTGTGCTCTTACATTGGGTGTCTCGCCACCGATCGCAATGGACGTAAGCAGACAGAAGACTTGCAATCAAAGGTGCTCCTCATCAAGGGCCAGTCGGCGCGCGTCGGCTGGCAGGCGGGGGTGATCGCCAGAAGGCTTTCCGAGCACTGTAAAGTTTTGCTATATTGTTTCAGGTTGGCAGGTGTAATGCCCAATTGGGAACATAGCTGATGTTCTTCCGATCCTTGCGGTCGTGTCACAGCTGCTGACCGAGATGCATCGTATCTTGACCTCAATTCTAATGGCCTGTGAGGACAAGCAAGAAGACCTCACGGTGAGATGTTGTGCAGGACACGCCGCGGGGGTCACAACGCCCCGTCATGTATGGCCCTCGTCGGCCACTCAGCATGTTTCCGCTCGCGATTTAGGAATAATGGTGGTCATAAGGGTAATAACGGAAGCGATTCTCCGTCTGACAGCAAACATCAGAAGCAATTCAAGATTCAAAAGGGGATGATAGGCTCAAGAGCAGTACTACTACTACCGTTGCTTCACCCTACTCCTACTCCTCCTACTCCTCCTCCTCCTACTACTACTAGTGCTACTACTACTACTGCTACTACTACTGCTACTGCTACTGCTACTGCTACTAGAACGTGGAGGTTAAGAAGGATGTGACAACGACAGTTCGGTTTGAATTTGTGGAGTTGACGATGGCGCTGATGTTAAAGTTTGCGATGCAACCTCTGACTATGGTACTGGCGAAGGTGATCGGGATGGCAATGGTGACAACGATGCTGCTGGTGCCGATGTTGCAACTGCTGCTGATGATGATGAACATGAGGATGGCTACTGTGGTTAGGAAGATGGCTTTCATAACCATGATGATTGCATTGTACCACGGTCGACAGTAAACAATGGTAAATCTGAAAAAGAGATAAATCGCCTTAGTGCCAGACTCCCAGACATGGCGATCTGTGCGGCACTACTTACCACTTTGCAGCTGGCAGTCTTGGCAAGCAGGAATTGAACGGGAAACAACAGGTGCCAATGCTAGACCAAACGGAAAGCAGCACTTTGAACACATCTTGTTACCTGTCAGGGTGTGGCCATCGAACCCATACGCAACGGTAGTTCGTGGACACAACAAGTAGCAGCAAGGGCTTTCAGAGCAAATGGCCGTCTTCTCCGACGCCGAAAGAACCACTTAGTTTCATATAGGTCCTTATAGCAGGACAAACGTTGTTTCCTCCATAACAAACGCCGTGAGGCAATGACGCTCATGCTACCACCTAGCAGCTTGCCTTGCTAACTTGAACTGATTATGCTTGCATGCATTCACGTCCGTATAAACACGTGTATGTGTCTATATAAGTGCCGAATTTCGTATGTTTGTGCAGTTGTTCCTTGCCCTTTCAGGTTGTAATTGCAGAGATGTTCTGGTTGGGCGTAGTTCTTACCCTTACCACACTTTCGGCCGCAAGCCGGAAACAACATTCCACTTTTTTCCCAGGCTGGTGGACACGAATTTCAGGGTCCACTGTTCCTTCAACTCCTCACTTCAGAATTGTCAGAAGTCAAGAATCTTTCGTGCATGTCATATGATATGATAGTGCAGCATGATACAGCATAGTATACTGCATTTCTGATCAATACCCAAACATGAAGCCCGGAGGCTGTCTCCACGAGCTGTGAACCAGCCTGCCCCAAGCCCCCTTGCCCCTTCGCAGGATCAATCGATGGCAACTTCTACAGTTTCACGTTTCTCCGAAGCCAGGCCCTCAAATTATTTGAGGTCTGACGGATTTGTGAAACTATCCCCTGATTCTCCCCATATTTTTTTCGGTGTAGTGGGAATGGGACCCTGTAATGTAGATTACAAACCTCAAGATCTAGGGCTAGGCTTTGATTGTATAACCTGACAGATTCAACAACACCATGTGAAGTTCTCCTTTGTTGGGATGTTGGCTTCGATGTTGCTGCTTGGAGTTCTCCTCACTCCTATCACCAGACTTCCGCAGATGTCCGCAATTTGATCAAAGCAAGGAGCTCTTTCTTTGTAATCGTCCTCTAGCTTCCCCGAACCCTAAACCCTAAACCCCGAACCCTCAACCCCGAACCCCGAACCCTAAACCCCAAACTCTACAGGCGCCAACTTTTTTCGGGAACCCTCGTTCCGAACTCCTCAAATCAGAAAACCCTGGACCCTAATACAGGGGCCTTGGGGTTCCTTACTATTGTTATTATTATTATTATTATTGTTATAATAATAATAATAATAGTTATTATTATTATTAATAATAATATTATTATTAATAATATTATTATTATTACTTATTATTATTATTATTATTACTATTATTATTATTATTATGATGATGATGATGATGATTATTATTATGATGATTATTATTATTATTGTTATTATTATTATTATTACTACTATTATTATTATTACTATTAATATATATCTATATCTATATATATATATAGTATGATGGGCCCCAAAACCTTATTCTAATTATTGAGGTCTCTGAGTAAGCCCTATAACGAGAGCACATGCCAAGGTTGTCTGCCATTCTTGCGCGCAGCTGAGGCACTCCGCGACGGATGGATGCAGTTATGTAAGGGTCCCTGATGGATGCCTTCTCCCCGGAAAGCTGTGGGCGTTAGGGGTTCCTACCCCAAAGGATCCAAGTAACCATATAGTATGTACTTTAGGGTACTAACTACCTACTATAATGGTACTTGGACCCTTTGGGTACTGAATATTAAAAACCCTAAACCCTAAACCCTAAACCCCCCTAAACCCACATAATACTTGTAGTAGAGTATACCCCCAAAACCCTACTCGAAATATTAAAGCCCCTATATATTCTGGTGTCTTCCCCGGAATTCTAGCCGACGGCTCGACCACTGGTCTCGTCAGAGCGGAAACAAGGTCGAGGTTTGACCGAATCTCAAGGCAGGGTTATGGTTTAGGCGGCTTAGGGCTGAGATATGTTGAGATGCTAGGGGCAACATGGCATCGGAAAAGGCGCTGGGAATGGGTTGGAGCTTGAGTCAGCAAGGCCGTGTACGGTGGCTGGATGGCCGCAACAGTCCACGACCTGCTGGACGCCAGTCCGATCGTTTTCGACAGTGTTTCAGCCGCATGGTGAGGTCAAGACCCCAAGCCAGGGTATCAGATTTGGCTGGTTGACCAGCCTATATGTTGCGCAGCCAGGACATGAAATCGGACACTGCCGCCATCACTGCCTTGCGAAGTCAGAACCATCCACTGACTCGCATTGCCTGGAGTAAGGCAGCCTAATTAGGACGGATAACCAACAGGCTCGGATAGGTGCAGGTTTTGGCGGGGTCTGGGGCCGGGTGGGTCCAAGCTAGTGGGGGAGTAAGGTTTTTAAGGATGAAACTCTGCGTATTTGAGGGTTTTGGTAAACTTATCAGGAGATATTAGCGTTTCTATGGCTTGGATTTGCGTAGTTTTATGGCAGGCTGTGAAAGTATCAATTAAAGTGCTGGAATTACAAGGTCGTTCGATCAGATTTTGGGCTCTGGGTCTGTAGCTTTTTATGTAAGAAGGCAGAAATACGGCGTTCGTGGCCGTTCGTCGTTCGGCCTCTTCAAGAGCCGTTCACCTCGCCGTGGACCTGGACTTCACAGGTGGCCCTGACGAGTTTGGCGGGGTTCTTGATAGGTTGTCTGCCTGCACTCAGGAGAGCTATGCATTCTGTACTTGTCGCATGCAGCACATGACTCCATGAGCAGTTCAAACAGCAGCATCCCAGGCTTAAGAGGATCCCGCCATTTTTCAGGCATTTCCTACAGATACATTCGCAGTCCATCACATTTCGCAGATTTCGCAGCTTCTGATTTTAGGTTTCAGGGTTCGTCATTCGGCGTTCATCATTCGCCGTTCGGGTCATTAGCCGTTCGGGATATTCGCCGTTCGGGTCGTCATCCGTTCGGGGTCTTCGCCGTTCGGGGTTGCTGGATTTTCCCTTGGTCTTTCGAGACCGTTCCTTGCGGCACAATGGCCGGCCGTCGTGCAGCTCGCAATCCGGCAGCTGCGACGGACGATCTCAACTACCAGACTCTCGAGGGGAACATCGACGAGGGGACGTTCTGGGACGGTCCTCTTCTGGTGGCCTATGGGATCGAAGAGATGTACAACACGACCGGCCGGAACAATGCCGTTCGTGTTTAGGCTCATTAATAAAATGCTTCGCATTTGCAGGAGTCTTCACATGTTTGTTTGCAGTGCCAAGCACACTCAGGTCAGAAGGGCCACTCGTGTATGCCGGCATGGTTGAAAAGGCGGTGGTATGAGGTCAACGGAACACAGGTGTCCATCGACATTCGTGGGATGTGGCCCAGCGATACCCAAGCACGGGCGGAGGGTGTCGAAGGACGGGTCGTAGTAGTAGTCGTGAGTGACTGTCGCAAACTATTGAAGTTAACAGTTTTTATCGGGGTTTCTTATCCTGCGAGGCAACCCGTTGACGACGTTCGCGGTGTTCGAGGGGCCGTACAACCAGACGGAGTTCGCACCTTGCTTCCGGGTTCTCGCGAAGATGCTTCAGGCCATGAAGGAGATCGAAGGACCTTCGGTTTTGGCCGTTTGCTGTTGCTGGATGCACTTAGTAATAAGGTTCTGCAGCCAAGTTTGTGGTGTGATCTTCGGGTGATTGCTTGTATCCGAGGTTCGCATGGACGGGTCCGGTCGGCCAGTCTCGTGGTGGGCCTCTCGGCCCTCTATGGCGTCCCCCTTTGGCTGCCGTCGTTCGGCGACGTGTCGAACGAGTGGTGGGCCATCGGGCATCTGCCGGAGACGGTCGTCACTCAGCTCCGTATCTATGCGAGCGATCGTGTGGCCGCTCCTCAGACACCGCCTGGACCGCCGCCGGGGGGGCCGGCCGGGCCGGCCGGGCCGGCCGCTGATGCAAATGCGGCTCCTGGTCGTCCGCAATATCGCGGGACGTTTGGGGCGGCCGAGGCACAGATTGCCATGCCCGCCACGGGCAACGAGATTTTGGATGCCGTGCCTTGGCTCAATAATAATTAATTAAGCGTTCGGTCCGTTCGTGCATCCTGTTCTCACTTAGGTTCGGTACGACATCTGGAAAGTGGCACCGGCCGCTCTCCTGGAGCTGGACGAACTGCAGCTCGATGAGAAGGCCGTTCGTGCCGCTCGGCTTTTTAATAATTCGCATGGGCTGTGTCGTTCATTGTCCGAGCACAATCAATTCACAATATCCAAGGCGGTCGGGAACCTGGCCGGCCATGGGGAGGACGGTGCGAAGTTCGTCCGGGAGATTTTCCAAATCCTCCAGCGTGACTTGGTTGGCTAATGGGTTGGATTCGAATCATTCAGATGAAAAGTTAAGTTTCTAAAATAACTGAGGCGAGAACCAGGTGGACCTTCGGACCTATGCCAATCCATCGGCGGCCATAACCTCGGCCGTTCGAAAGGAGCTCGACCGCCTTCGCCCCGAGATCCCTGGTCTTCCGGGTCGCTTCGGCTTTGAGCTTCTACTTTTAACTTGACTTGTGTCGTTCGTGCTGCTTTGCAATGCACCTTGCATTTACCTGATAGCTGAGGCAGCAGCAGACAGCAGGGAAGAGGAAAAGGCCGGCAGCATTACGACGATTTCGACGTTCGCCGTCACTCCCTTGAAGTTAAACAGTCAGATGACATAGGCATTGCTGTTGTCTGCGTTTCGCGATCGAGTACAGTGACTGAGGCGGGGAGCAGCCGGACTTTCGCGGCTATGGCGATCGCGATCGGGATGGCGGCGGCCGCCGTGACTACTACGAGCGGGACTGGCGTGAGGACGATCGGGACTTCCGGGATCGCCGTGACTTTCGGCGTGACGATCGTCGCGATCCCAGTCCGGACGATCGCCGTGGACCCTGGAGAGACTATCGTGGCCTTGACGATCGCGAGCGTGCCCGCTTCGACGATCGTGATCGTGATCGCCTTTCGGATCCAGGGCATCCAGGTCGGCCGACTCCTCGTTGGATGTCCGATGCCGAGGTGCCTTGGCTGCAGAAGCTATTGCGATTGGCTGCGTGTATTTCAATCTGGGTGAGTCTGACATGCTCAGGACCGTCGCCGTCGCCGGTACGATTACTACTAGGTCGTTCGTGGTGCCTTGGCTCTTTAAAGCGTCCTTCGAAACCGTTGTTTGTGTGTCGAGGACTGACTGTACTGTACTTTAATAACTGCAAGCCTAAGGACGGCCGCTTTTGATTTTGGGAGGAGCCAGGACACGGCCACTCGCATCGGCCGTGAAACTGGTCCTCGAAGCCGTTTTGTGTGCCACGGCACACCTGTAGCTTCACTCTGAGGGGAAGATGAAAAAAGGGGTCTCATGTGCATTGCCCTTTGCTTTGCCACTCTTGTTACACTTGGCCGAGATTGAGATTTTTGCTCGTGCCAGGTCGTGGGGCGTTCGGAATGAGGAGGCCAGCAGCTTTGCCGGGTTTGGGTTTATTGTTTGGTGGTGTGGGTTGTCTCTGTTCTTTGGACTCTAACATAAGGAATGGGTGTTGGGTCTGTGCGGGGTTTGGGGTTGGTGAGTCGTTACATCTACATGCAAGCAAGATTGCTTATCGGGTTGGGGTTGTAATCTGATATGTTCTTGGTCGTTCGAAGTTTGGGTGATTCTGCAATCAAAGTATTGTGGGGTGTCTTTTGGCGTACTACTCCTTAAAGCTAAAGCCTGGAGGGAACAAGAGCAGCAGGTCCCACAGCCCCCAAAAAAATCAGACTTCAAACCTCGAGCCCTGAAAACACCCAATATTGGCATACTGTAGGGGTTCCTTAGGTATTGTGAACAACACATCCAGAACTCCCAAACGGTCTCTCGGCAGGTGTGGTCATCGCGGTCATCGCAATCGCGAGGTTGGGTCGCGTGGTCCTTCGACAATTAATAAAACAATTACTTACAAATAGCAGTCTTACTTAGTACATTATTTATTAAGCATTACTAATAACAACAATAAAAAATAATAATGGGAGCAGTCGCGGGGTTTATTAAGTAAACCACAAATCACAAAAGGACACTGGCAGGTACAATAATTATGCTAACAATTTTAGACACAGGATAGTATGATACTGATAACAACACCAATAACTAATTGGTTGAATGATTAAATTATGAAACATAAGCCCAACGTCGTTCGAGTCGTTCGAGCAATAACACAATTGTGCAAGCATACCTGGCATACCCTCCTGACACACGATTCGTAGCTCTGGCTACTCAGCCCTAAAACCCAAACGACATCCTGCAAACTGACCCCTACACCCTCTCATCCCCCTCCCGAAACTTCAGGCTGTAGTTTCGCAACCTTATCTAAGCCCGAAGTGAATCTTCCTAACTCCGATTGCAAATGATCCTTCCATTACTAGTTTATGTCATCCTGCTGTTGTTATCAAAACCCAAACGATTCTTGCGAGGCCTCTGCAATGTAACTTGTGGCAGCATAGGGCAGGGTTCTGGTTTGCGGGGTGATGATTAGATTATGGCATTGCAGTATCGTGGACATAGACCAACAGCACGTGTAGTCGCACTGCAGCGGTAGGAGTAT